CACCTTATAATTCTTTTACCCGCTTAAGGTTCTAATTTTTCATATATAATACAAGTATAGAAGATTGGCGACGGATTAGAAAACTTATACAAAAGTAACTTACGGGTCAAAGGAGAACCGGGGTTGCTTGACCCGACGGGAGAATCCGGGACACGACCAGGATCCACCATCTTCTTGTGGTGACCATTTCTTGTAACATTTTTGCCGGAAATGTGAATTCTCAACTTCCCGAGACCATTTTCCGGTGCAGGACCAGCCAAAGTTTCATCCCAAAGCTTGTGCAAGAATCCCATATCTCCAACTAGTCAAAGGATTTTTGAATTTTTTGTTAATGATCTCTTATGTTTTTCTCTTCTTTACTCAAGGATTATAGTTTTTTACTTATATAAAGATTCGGGAAAGAGAAGCGTTGAATATCTTTTGTTAGACTAGTTATATAGATTCTACCTTAATTTAACCTTCCCAAAATTAAGATGATTTAATCAAGGATAATGATATTATTAAACATAGTTGATAAATCTAGCTTTAACAAAAAAAAATAGTTGATAAATCTAGCCGATAAGCAGATCGCCTAGACGATGAGTTTATAGGATGGTGACATGTTTTGACTTTTCATCAACTTGTTTTTCCCCTTGAAGACTTTTTCATTTCCAACAATGGGCCTGTGTCAAGTGCCAACTGGGCCTGGGTTTAAATATTATGCAACGGCTCTTAACGGCTAGTAGTTTTTTTGTCTTTTCCATTTTTTAATTATTCTATAAATTTACTTTCTGGCCTCTCAAAGCGAGTTTCTTCTTTAATCTTCGTCTCTAGAAAATTGACCGTTAAACAAACGCTCTTCTTCTTCTCAGTCTCTTCTCTCTCACAAGAATATCACCAAGAAACTGCTCCATTTTTACAAAGGTAATACCTTTCTTCCTTTTGATTTTGGCGATTGTTTGTGATTCTTCTCGTATCTCGATATTTACTTTGCGACGTTTTTTCTGGGTCAATGGGGATTTTGGTGTTTAATTTTGGTAGAGAATCAAATTGGGGGTTTTTAGGTTTCTGGAATCGAATCCCCAAATTTTAGGGTTTAAAACTGCTTCAATTTGACGAATGTTCGATTTTCTTGATTCTTTGGTGCATATCAAATCAAACCCACACATCTTTTTGTTCCGTTTCGATTTTATGTTTTTGAATTCGATTTCCTCTGATGATTCACAATTAGCTTTGTTTGTGTTCACAGCTAAAAGAAATGGCGAACATGAACGCTCTTCAACAGATGATTTTCCCTGACGAGAACGCTCCAATTCATCGCAAGAGTAATTATCTTTCTCTAACTTCGAATTCTTCCAATCATATGTTTTTGATGGATGCTTTGAATACAAGATTTGTTTTGCGCTTTTGACTATTTCAGAGTCTGTTACTACTGCTGCTTCTGTGAAGACCAAAGGATCTGTTCTTGGTCAGAAGAAACCCGGAGGAGCGCGCAGGGCTTTAAATGATATTACTAACAAGTCCGGGATTCATCCGAAAGCTTCATCGAAGAATAAGCAAATCGTTACTGCTGCTGCTGCGAAAGACGAGATCAACATAGCTGGGGAAAGGTTCTTGCATGATCACAGCAAGTGCATCAAAGAACAGCAAAATCTTTGGGATGATTCTGATCTCATTCTACTTCACCATGGTAATATATAGATCTTCTAAACTCTAATGTTAACCAATCTTCGGGATTGTGCCTAAGCTTCTTTCCTTTTTTGTTGCAGGTTCGAGCATCAAGGAAAATCATCTCAAGTGTGACATAGAAAAGGTTTAAAAGAACTTTCAGTGTATCTCTCTGTCTGTGATGTAGATGGAATTGAATCTTTGTTATAGTTTTGGAACTTATAATGACACTTTTGTGACTCTTACTTTTATGTGTGTTTTTGGTTTCAGATGGATGCTAAGAACAATCTGACTTACTTCGAAGCAGAAGAGATACCATCTCCCAAGTTGACTGATTGGCTGAAAAGCTCGACTCCATGGCGCTCACCAATCCGCCATGGGTCTATGATGATGCCTTCTACTCCTCTGGCTTGGCGGTTCGATTCATCTGAATTCACACTGAAAGAAGACTGTGAAGACGACTTCTTCTGAGTTTCTGTTTCTTAAATGTCTTTAAAAACATTCATCCTTCAGATGAAGTAGTAGGAGGACTAGTAGCTAGCGACCATCTTTGTTCCTCATGACTCTCTGTCCATCACTTTGTAACTGATTTCAGGAAATAAAAGTTGGAATGTTTTCAAGCATTTAAGCATTCATCATACTCTTGTCATAAAGCTCGAATCTTTCCAATAATGTTAAGAGACACAGAGAATCCTTAACATGTTCAGAATCCATTTCTATACATTTGCAACATTCCACAACATCTAGCAACAAATCTAATCTCATCAACTGTTTTAACTTACATTGCCATTATCCTTAACATTGTGATGACTCTTGATTCTTCTTTCACCATCTTCATCCTCTTGAATGTTCCGAAACATCTCCAGTTGATTTTTAAAGAATTGCATTCTCTGCAACTCAATCTCCTTAGCAAACTTCATCCTCTCTTTCTCAAGCTCCACCATTTGTTTAATCTTCAAAGTCTCCACCTTTTCGTAACTCTCTGCAAATCCCAATATCGCTATTGCCACTTCTCCAAGCTCATTACCTCCTCCGGTCTTCTCCAATTCCTCCATCGGCGGTGACAACAACGGTGGTGGTAGACTGTCGTCACCTGAAAGATCAGGCTCAGGCTCAGACTCTGATTCCGTCTCGGAAGCAACTCGTTTCCTGAAATGCCATCGAGTTGAAGAATCTCCACTCCTTTTCACACCTCCTCCTAGTCGCTTTCGCTGCGGCAAAGGAGTCGACGTTGTTGCTACTCCGATCAAATGTTCGAGCTTTTTGAAGAAGACCCATTTGCTATCATCACCAGTTGATGCGATTTTTGCTTTCTCCTGCTTGAATTTCTTCTTCACCGTGTCGATTCTGTTCTTACACTGTATATCAGACTTGAGAGATTTGTTGATTCGCTCACTGTTCACGATCTCCGCTACTTCTTTCCAGTGTTGTTGCTTCAGATTCCCTCTCTTTAGCTCCAAGAATCTCTCTCCCCACGCATCGATTAGAATCTCCGTCGCTTCTTCGCTCCAACAGTCGT